CCGGTCACTAGTATGGCAAATGAGCAGCCATCATTGCACTAAACCATGTTCGAGGAAGCAAATAGACCCGGTCCACCACGTCGTCACCAGTTTAAACTTTATAGCGAGTATGAAATATAGCCTATAGCCTACCTGAGAAGATCTCCAATACTTTCTACCTAATGCGTGACATTTTAATGTAATAAATCTGAACAGACATACCCAATTACACGTCTCGGCATTAGAAGGATCACGGCATCAGGTAAATTGGTTTAGAGTTCGCGACGCAACAATATACCGGTCGTTACAAAATATATTTTAATAATTTAAAATTACGCATACCTAGTAAGATGATCTAACTAAACTATACTAGTAGTTTAAATTCGTAAGTGTGTCTGTTTATTACATTTCCACAATAAAATGTCTGACGGTGAGTGACGGTAGATTGTTGTGCGGGGACAAACATAGGCTATTTATATCAAAAAAAAGCAGATGAAGTCGTGGTAAATAGTTAGTGTTGTAAATGAAATTGTTATTTTGTGATAGATAGGACCCTGGAAACGGTTATAATCTACTTTTTCTAGCGAAGATTTTTGGAGGAGTAAAATGTTAATTCGTCTTTTTTATATATTTGTTTTTGATGACGATGGTGGCAAACAAACATACAGTCCATCTGATGGTAAACTGCTTCTGTAGCCTATAATGTTTATAATGTACAAACACTAACCTATATATTTGTTTTTGATGACGATATATATATACTTATATATATATATATACTTAATAAAAAGCAAACATTACTTTTCTTAACTTGAACGCCGGATAAGAACTGGTTAATTTTTCATTCCTCACACGTCATTCTGAATGACAGAGTGATCTTCTAACCGCAATTCCGTGTAGTTACGTGGGGCCCATAGTAATTTACTGTCCAGTAACACTTTTTTATACGAACACCACAGAATTTAACTAATAGCTCTTAATTAACCCAAATTGAGTTTTTACATCGCTCTTAGTATAATCAGACATTTAAGAAATCTTTTAAATCGTCATGGCCTATTTGTTGGCTACCCAAAGGATCCAAAGAAGACTTCGAATTAGTCTGTCACCATGGTATGGATCATTCATCCATACCCTGGACTGTCGCGTTTATAATATTAGTAAGATAAACAAATTTTTGATTAATTTTTAGTTAATCTTTCAAGAAAAAGCTACTGATTTTGATGAAACTTTATAGGCTTATACATAAGAATAACATATAGCCTATAAATTACATGCGGCTGATACCGCGGCCACAGCTGGTGAGTTTATATTTCTGACTGACTCTCCAGTTATAGGAACATTATTGTCAAACCAAATTAATCCGAGAGAATACCGGTAATTTGCTCACTTGCATTACATTTATTCAAAATTCAAAAATCATCATTTTCATGTAGCCGCTTATGAACATCAAATTTTACATTCTAATTTTAATTTTCTTCCTAACTTCCAGGACATTTTAACACACAGTCTTACTTTGGAAGTAGTTGGTCGCAGATTCGATTCTTCGTCCGGCACAAACATTTGTATTCATGAGTATGATTGTATCGGCCTGGGTATTTTCTTTGTAAATATGTATGTATTTAAGAAAAAAATATATATCTATGTATTTGTATCAGTTATCTAGTATTTACCCATAATACAGGCTTTAACTTGGGTCTAGATAGCGCTGTGTGAATTGTCCTGATATTATATATTATACTAGCTTTACACGCGACTTCGTTCGCATGGAATTTAACTTTATTTTTCTAAAACAAGCTTAAGTTACTCCTTATTACGTGAGCTAACTGCCAATAAAAGTCCCGTCAAAATCGGTCCAGCCATTTCAAAGATTAGCCGGAACAAACAGACTGACAGACAGACAAAAATTGTAAAAAATGTTATTTTGAAAAACTATTATTTCAATATTACAAACAGACACTCCAATTTTATTTATATCTATAGATGTATAGGTTATATATTATAATCACCACCATTGCCTGTTAACAATGCTTCTGATTCTCTTATCTATGATATCAGTCATGATCGTAGGTTATGTGTCAAATTTATTTCAATTTCAAGATTCTGAAACTCTAGAACACTAAATAATAAATGGAATTCATTTGACATTTATATAAGTATTTATGCGACGCCGAATTTGAAAATTCCTCAACCAAAAATATGAATGTCGAATCACTAATACGACTGAATTTATCGTCTGTTACCTAATGTAAAAAGCCGATAATCCCTTGTCTCTCCAAATTTGAAGGAGTCAGTGACAAATTACCTCCCCCGGCATTACGTGGTTCGTTACCTAAACGCAGTCATACAATGTATCTCAAATTGTATTCATGCTTTAACGAAGTGAGTAGTTTTTTTATTGTGAGAAGTGAGTAGTCGTATTAAAAATGGAACAGTGTTCAGTTGATTTAACATTTTATAATAATAATAATATCTTAAATCTATCGCCCAATACAAATATCGCATTGCAAAAAGCAGCAATATTACATACATGTCGTATCAAGGCATATTTTTTTTACAGGAGGATAAAATAACAATTAATTAAACATATATTATTCAGTCAGTATGTATATTCACTTCCACGCTACATTTTACTGATTAATTTCATCAAAGAAAATGTAGAGGGGAAAACCTATTCCACAAAAAAATAGAATTGTTTGTATGTCCATTGATCGTTAGTTCTTATGATATAAAGAAACAAATAAAAAAATACTATTGATGATCACATTTCAGTGGATAAATTGTATTTTTTTGTCTCGATAGCAGATTCTAATAGGGATTAAATTTAGTACAAGACCACAACACTATTGCAATAAACCGTTTCCCGAAGAATAAACGAAATAAGTTAACAATTGTCGTAGATACAATTTGAGATAAAAGCAAAAAATACAGGTCCTAGCATAGTAAAATTTATTTAAATAAAAGAAAAATAAGAACTAAGACGGCATGGTCTATTTTTTGTTTGTTTATTATACTCTTGGGAATATCTAAGGATGCTATTATTTTACAGGACCGTATTTTTCTAGAGGTTTTTCTAGTGTCTAATTGAACAGCCTGGTTTATTAATTGAGTCGCAATTTATGTACAACAGCGCGGTTTTACATAGAACTGTATTTGATTCAACGTAGAAATCTCCAAATTAAATTCGTAGAATTGATTTTATGTTCTTTGAAATTGTATATTGTAATAACAACCAGTACATAAAATTGTATAAGACGTTCAGGACAATACAGAATACTTTTTTTTAAGAAAATGTTTATTCAAATAAGTATTTATAATGAAATTATTAAGATTTACATAATAAAATAAATTGGTAGATTCATAATTAGTATTTAGTAATAATTATTTTATTTATGTACAAATGTATTTTTAAGAAAATTTGTGTATATTGATTGGAGTTAATAAACTACCCACAGTTTGACTTTAGTTTTGGATAATAGAGAATGATTAGATTTTTTATTCCAAACTTATTTCCACCCATGTGACGCCTACTTTATTTTTATGCTTGTCTGGAGATGATTGCGTTAGCGATCTATTGTTTTAATTTTCAATGTGTCTATTTTTAATGTTGGAGTAATCAAGAATTATAAATAAATAAAAACTTCAAACATATAATAAAACAAAGGCCAGATTTGCTACTGAATTATTTGTTCTTTTGTCGAGAATTTTATTATTAGAATTAAAATGGCTAAAAACTGTAGAATATTTATAGAAGTTTAGTAACTCTATTTTCATAGTCTGTATTAAAACAAATACATTTCTGAATGAACCATGTAAAATTCTAAATTTATTTGATAAAAGCTATAGTTGAGTTTCTCATTATATTTCTTCTGTGATTAATCTAAAAGTTATAACTCGGTGTTGCTCAACAGGCATGGGCCCAAAGTTTAAATTGTTTGTCGTCCCCAGATGATACGTGAATCCGTAGGTGGGCGTATCGAATACCCTTGCTACAAACTTGGCCTGTTTTAAACTATATATTACACTTGACTCTTTAGGTCAGGTAAGAGGTTGCATACAACGTGCATAGATATTACGCCACTTGAACAGGTATCTCAAAGGTATCCAGCTATCTATGTTCAGAGGATAGAGGATGCTAGAGGCTTGATTATATAACAGTATTGCAACTATTTTTTTACTGTTTATTTTAATTTTCAGTATTAAAATATTATATTATTTTACCTTCATATTATTTATTTAACCTTCATATTGTTTTCCAATTGATATTTAAACGACACGTAATAGTAAAATTGTCTTTTTTTTATGTACAACTGTAAACAAGCTGACATCTGATGGTAAGTGTTAAGCGTCGTCTATATACGAGTACATGAACAGCACCACGGATATCATGTAATTATTTGACGGATAAGTGTACCCTTGAAGAATTGCCATTCTGGAGATTATAAGATATCATATTAGTTAGGTATGATAGTAATTTGAATTCACACATTTCGACTTAAAAATTTTAAGTTACAAGTTACAACGATTTTTTATAAGATCTTCTTGTGATTAGCGCAGCTTTCCAGATTAAGTTTATTTGAATAAAGAATATTCTATTCTATTCTATGCACACGAAATCTGTGATTTCACTGCTCTTAAACTGAAATACAGCATACAAAGCCAGTCGCTTGGTAACAAAAAGTGTGAGATAAGCAGACACCTTTAAAATCTCGGTATATCAAAATTTATTTAAACATTTTGATGGAAGATATTCAGTACGAACAAGTAGTAAATATTATTTATTGTCTTCTATGGTTTGCATATTACAATCTTATATTCTTGCGATTGTTAAGGAATAGTGTCGTATTTAAACGTGATGAGATTTCTTTTATATTTCTACCAGTTTGTTACCTTTTAAGAGGACTAAGGTGTCATATGCCTCTAGTAAAAGTAATTACCCTGCCATACCTCACGTTTTAAAATTTGGTAACAGAGATACATACAGACGAACATATAGTTTTTAAGTAAATAATGGAATCACTAACCTTTCCCAACTGAGACGTCTTGGAGCATCAACAGCGACATCTTCAGGAGTCCCACGAACTCCCTGCGTGAGCAGCCTGGCCAATCTTGAGCTGGCACTGGAGCTGCCAGTACTAGATACTGATCCACGAGGTGTTGGTACTCTGAAACAAATAAACAATTTTTTATTATATAATATTATATATATTACTGGCTGACCCCATAAACGTTGTTTTGCCATATAAATTAAAATCGCTATTAAAAATAACGGTTGGTAGAAGGGTGAAAATTTAGAGTTGTATGTATTTATAATGCCACATCGTAAAAAATAAAATGTTAGGGGTATGAAAAATAGATAGTAGTCGATTCTCAAACCTACTTAATATATGTTTAAAATTTCATAAAAATCGATCAAGCCGTTTCAAAGGAGTACAGTGACTAACATTGTGACACGAGACTTTTACATTTATGATTACATATTATGTGAAAGATAGTATGTATAAAAGGAGAGTAAGACTCAGATATAACGGATGATAGGGATCAGTGGAGGAAGAGGACATACTGCGCCGACCACAAATAATGTTAAAAGGAAGGCAATGATGATATTATTATATATTACAACCCACTGCGGCTTCGTACGGGTGTACATATATTATATTCATAAACCTTTCTCTTGAATCACTCTATCTATTTTAAAAAAACCGTATCAAAATCCGTTGCTTAGTTTTAAAGATTTAAGCATACATAAGGACAGACAGACAGCGGCAGCGACTTTGTTTTATACTATGTAGTGATGATATTACTTATATTTTGAATAATTTGGGTAGTGAATCTATGGTCCTTATTGAATGAAATCCTTGATAGAAAATGCTTACCACCTACAAAGATACATTAAAATTTACATTAATTTTAATTTTATTAATTTTTGTCCAACTATAACAGATATCCAAATATCCAACATTTTTACCATTTTTTTTATTCCCGAGTGAATTAGTATGAAAGCATTCTAAATAATTAATCTATGTCTGGTTGTAAACCAATTTTTTTCTAATTTCTTTAGCTGTTTCTACTTTACTATTATTCTCAGAAACGGCTAATAGATTTGGGTTCGCTGTTCACTGCATAATTATTGTTATTTGGTGTTCAATATATATGTGTTGTAATAAGCTTCATGACAATCTTGTGTATATCATATTTTATACCAATTGGTTAACGAACAAAAGAATTATAAACTATAGTTATTACGAATAAAGCAACTTAAGTCGCGGACTCAGCTAATTTTATATAAGGGTTAGACCACAAATTAATTGATAAATTTTATCATAATTCACTTGTGCAAAGTTGCGAAATACCACTAGTTTTAGATAGATTAATAAACGCACGTGCATTCTGAGGGATTACAAACATGCTCCGGTTATTATGAAAGTTTGCAGCAGATACCCTTCATCTCCTGATCTTCCGGTAAATCTAGTAGATTACGTTATCGTGCTGAGAGAAAATCAGTTGACTCTTGGATTATAGATAAAAAGAATTCAAAATTAGAACTCTATAACTCAAAGATTACACTCCGAAATATGTGTCAAGATAGACTTTTAAAAAGTCGTCCGCGTACTTCAGTAGCTTTCGCAGGGGGTGTTTCAGATGAAGGATTGAGATAAGTAATTACAGGACGAGAGGCATGACATCTAGTTGTCCGGAATTATTATGTGACCGGGTTGACTGCCATTCCAATTACCTATATACATATAAAATTGCATGAAACAAGAAAATATTTACATTTGAATTTTTCAACAGTGATCTACGAAATCTAGAATATAATTTTATTACTAATATTTTTATGGAGTTATATAGCATATCGCTTATAGATAATTAATTAAGATTATTATAGCAGATAATGTAGCCTTTTTTAAAAATTACATTTAATTAAAACTCTAAGAACAACATTTCAATTTTTATAAATGACGGAAAATTATTATATGTATTCCTTCTTCAGGTCATTTTTCAGGTACGATAATAGAAGTCTGGCTTGCTTATCACACAATTCAATCTATTGAAAATAATATTCATGATCAATATTTTAATAAAAAATCAACAATATATCCAGAGCCTGCCTATTAATAAATTTCAATTTAAAATATCTCCCGAAGCAAATTATTTTGCCGTGCCTACAGGACTCCTCAATTATTTGCACGGAAATTATTTTTCTTTTGCATTTGTAAGTACCATACTTGGGAAGACGAATGGCTACTTTGCGGTGAAATAAAAATGCGAGCCGAGTAAATCTGTGACTAGGGACCACGATAAATCCGTTTTTTTACGTTATTTTATAACCTTTCCTTGAGATTGACGGTGGGTTTTCAACCAACTTGGAAAATAGTAGCACCATTTAATATCAGTCATGCGTTTACTTTACGAACTAGCTCCATTGTAATAAGAATCGAAATTTCGACATTCTGTGCCAACGCTCGAACAATGAATTCATATTAGTCTGAATTAGATTGAACTTTATGCAGTTGAAGACTTATTCTATCCTAACGTAGACTTTAGAGTATACTTTAGGAGAGAATAAGTCTTCAGCCGCACCATAAGTTTTTCCGCAGATTTGGAGTGCCTTCCAGATAGGGTGCCTGCTCTACTTCGCATTTTCTGCCGGTGATGCTGTAAAGGCCAGCTGCGGCCAACTGCATTATAATAATTCGAATATATAATAGTTTATTAAATCATTCATTAGCTGTAGTTATTTAATTTTTTTCTATACAATACATAATTTGTGACATGATATATAGCGCTATAAGACTTTTCAAGGAAATAACAAAAAGGTTAGTCAACATCAGAGAAGACCGAAGAGCGGGCAGCTACCTCGGACAAGGAATTAGTCTAGCCATTCAAATAGGGTAATAAATAAACGCTGCCAGTATCTTCGGAACCCTGCCTAAAGGGACTCTTCTTAATAATATGTTTTATTTATTATATTATATTTTTTATATTTTTTTAATTTTAGGTACTTAGTTGTACAAATAAGTTATGTAAATAAATTATTGTTACTTAATCATTTGTGACATTAATGATGACTTATGTGTACAGCCAATTGTTTTTGTTCGCAATCTGCCAATCCAATTATTGTACACGAAGTGAACAATACAAATTAGTTAATTAAATCAATTAATGGTTGTGTTAAATCAAGTCAATGCAAATAAAGTCCCGTTCTCCGGTTGTTAAAAATAATGATTCTATAACGATGTCAATATTACCATGTGTTAAGCGGTATTATTCTTCCATCACTGTAAATTTATCCTGACATCGGAACGTTCCATTATTCACGAGTCTTTGGAGGAAATCTGAATATTTCTTAAATTACAACAACCTTTTTAATGGTATTACAGAGAAGTGGTAGGAATTCTTTAATTTTAAATGATTCGTTATTTTTGTAACTGGAATTGCAAACAAGGCGACGGCCAATGATGTCATAAAGTATAAATCATCACTTATAATACATGCACAGCATTATCAATATCATATCGTCATACTCGTTGCACCCCTCATACCTGCCATTATAATAACCATAATAACTCAGGACAATTCACACAGCACCATCTAGTCCCAAGCTAAGCAGAGCTCGTGTTATAGATACTTGACGACTAATACAAATGCTTAATTCCCTTTTTTTTCGTAAATACATACATAATAAATTTCGTAAACACTACAAATATTTTGTAGTTTGTACTATGTGAGGAATCGAACCCGCGACCATCCGAAGTAAGGAGGTATGCTAAACCGCTAGACTATAGGAGCCACAGAGGACTAAGGAATGTGTCTTATCTTCATAGTTTACTGTGCATGTACTAACATAGTTACTGTATATGTATTGTGCAAAACGTCACTCAGTAATAAAACAATGCAAGTATATTTTTTTTATATATTACAATTATAAATGTCTTTTCTTGTCATATATTATATAAAGGGGTTATTAGATAATCCTTACTAATATTACAAATAAGATAATATTACATACAAATATTAATATAATAAATGCGAATGAAACATTTTTAAAGACAGAAAATTGAAATTTATTTTTTAGGCTGTTGATTAAATATAAATAAATATATCATTCAAAGTTTGTAAAAATGTTACTCTTAAGGGGGCAAAATAAAAAAGGAAATGAAATGATGAAAGTCGTAATTTTTGAAGCTAGAACGATGAAACTTTTCCTTAAGCTATTTTGGTTTAGATTATTGAAGATTTTTTCTTTATTTGGTCAAGGTCACTATAACACGCGGGCGAAGTTGCGGGTACAGCTAGTTGTGATATAAATAACATATCCTTGCATATGACTTTACAAAGTTTTCCTCTGATCGTTTCTGCGAACATTAGTTTCCAATATTAGTCTGTTCTCGAAATGACTGGTTTTACGTGTGAAATATTAACGACCGTGAAGCTGTTATACCGTCTATATATGCAACACTAATTAGCAAATACAACTGCAGCTTGCTGAGGCCATTCTAAATTCACACTTAGCACCATGCAAGGTAGTAAGCATTAAAAATTAAACGGAGCACTTGAGATAAAGTGCTAACCGTCGCCAGTAGATAGTAAATACAATGCATGCAGAACGTAACGGATATGGCAACACACATTTGACGGCCTCGGTGCTCCAACGGTTTAGCACACCGACTTATTTACCATGGTCGCGGGTTCGATTCCTCGCACGGCAGAAACATTTTTATATTTGTATACATGAGTATAATGGTTTGTATCTGGTCTGGGTATTTTCTATGTACATTGACGATGTATTTACAAAAATATATTACTATTTTTATGTTTTTTTACCTTATATTTAAGTATTTGTATCAATCGTCTCTCCCATAATACAAGTTCTGCTAAACTTGGGACAAGAAAGAGAGCTATGTGAAATTGTACTGAGATATTATGACTTCCGTGATAAACCTTTGCTTTGCTTTGTGAGGCGAGAGTATCATTAGTATTGAGTAATAGTGGAGCCCATTGCTAATAATGTACCATATCATAGTTCTCTGGAAATCTCCAGGAGAAACCGCGTGGAGATCATGATAAGGTGTTAAATTCCTAGCGAATTTGGCACGATGGACTAACTGACCTGACCTCATACTCATCTTATCATCCTCCACTGATTCCCCGCGAGTGTATA